TCAAAAGGGCAAAAACAATCTTTTAATCATAAACTATATAATACCATTTTCCCTTAAATTCCATATCCAATACAAATACAACTATAATTCTGGAACGAATGTAGTATAATCAAAGTATCCATTAAATATTAAGACAAGTCTATTTAATTTTTAACTATTTAGACCATTAATATTAATGAAATCTCTTAGATTTCTCCCCTCATTTATATCAAGCCTTTCTTTGCTAAAAAATTCATGTCGATTAACCGAGCAGTTCGTGAACTCGGTTCAATTCGGTTCGATTCAGCTCGGTTAAAGCTCGTTCGCGAACGTTAACGAACCGAGCCGAACAACATAAACGGGCTCGTTTTCTTTATAATATATATATAAATTTAAAAAAAAAATAAGACAAACGAGCTCGAACGTGCTTAATCGAGTCTAAATGAGCCTAACACGAACACGAAAACGAGCTCAAATAACAAAAATTCTTAACGAGCCGAGCTCGAACACTACGAACAAGCTCGAAAGCTTAATGAACGAACATGAGCCTTTTTCGTGAACGTTAACGAACACTTAAAATTTGATTCGGCTCGACTTGACTCGAATCGTTAACATCTCTAATTAGTTGATAGACATGAGAACAAAAATATATTACCTTTGTCTCTGAAAAAGGTTTACACGTAAATCTTTTAATATTAATATTATATTGATTTATATTGAAAAATATAAAAATGCTCTTATTAAATTGTACATATTTTGTGTAATATATTGAAAGTTGTAAGGATATTAATTATGTTAGGTAGGTAGTATAATTACTAATTAAAAAATAATATCTTTGTTTTGAGATGCACAAAAATGGAAAATAGTATTCCCTCGGTCTCAAACACTTTGCAACAATTGTTTTTGGTACGAGAATTTAGGTGGGAAATATTAAATATGATAATTTAAGATAATTTGGATATTAAGTGATATAATTAGAAAGAAAAATAATAATTATTATTTTTTATTTAAGTGATATGATGAGATAAAGTGAAATTTATATTAATATATATATTTTATTAATTATTTTTAAATTTAAAAATATTGCAATAAATTTGAGATAAATAAAAAAACAAGAAAAAATACTGCAGAGTGTTAGGACAGATGAAATATCACTTTATGGAAAGGAGTGAATATATTTTAACCTTATTTATTGACTGGATGCTTGCTTGCTGACGTGTTTTTGTGAGTATGCACACGTGTCATCTAACTATTTTATGGGACATCCGATATGATGCAATAAGCTTACGTTTGAATGTGAAAAAAAAAAAAAAAAAACCCCTTAGATCATTCGCAACAAAGATATCCGTTTTTGGGTATCTCCATTATTTATTTTTATTCACGTTACATTTTTTCTCTGCCATATTAGCGGAGATATTTTCTTCTATTTTATATTTACAATAAAGATATTTATCCTAATTTTTTAATAAATTTTTATTTTTATATTATATATATTATCTTTTAATTATAATTTTAATTTGTAGTATTAATTATTTATTTAATTGCTTTAAAATTTATAATTATATTTTATTTAATAAATTAAATTAAATTTACTAATATTGATTTGTTCAATAAAATTATATAATATTTGTATTTATATATTTTAAATTTTAAATTGATAAAATATATTCAATATTATTATCATTTTATAAAATACAAAATATTATGAATTATAACAATACTACAAAATTTAAATATAATAATAAATTCAATATAAATTATAAATACAAAACATATATAATATATATTATATATATACATATAAGTGCCATGTGTCCCAATTAAATTGGAACACATGGCAATGAATCACATCTATCCAGCGTCTCTGCAGAGATGCTGGAAGCACCATTCTTTTTTTTTTTTTTTTTTAAATGCTGATGTGGCGCATCTCCTTCGGCGTTGCGGGTGCCCTTATATTGTAAGTTGTGTATAATTTAAACTACAAAAACGTGAAAATAAATAATATTATTTTGGTACGACTTCAAGAGTCTCGTTTATTTTTTATCTATTGATATTTGAATATTAATTATTATATTTAAATGTAGTACAAATTAAAAAATAAATTGCAAAAATACTTCTATTAGTGTCTTATAATACTAATAGAAAAATATTTGTACAAAAAAATTATACAATATAAATATATTTTTAATGTTAAGTATAATGATACAAAAGATAAAGCAGACGGAGGAAGTATTACCATCTTTATCTGTACGATCATGTTTATGTTGATATAAATACATAAATTTATAAAAAATATAATTAGTAAATAATTAAAAATATATTAGTTAAAATAATTATTGTATAATACATTGTAAATTAAAATAAGTAATTAATTTTATTTAAATTTAAAAAATTATAATTTAAAAAGTTTAAAATATAATTTAAGTTATAATTTTTTTTTAAAAAAAATATAATAAATTAAATAAGACAAAATAAAATAAAAGATAAACATATTAAGTGGAACCAAAAGAATAATAAAATTGAAGATTAGATCATAATTAAACTTATGAATTAAAGTCTCAAATGCATATGAGATTATTAAATAAATTAAAGTGAATAGTACGGGAAGATTAAATTTTGTTTATATAAATATTTTGAAATTTTTTTATACTATTCTCAATTATTTTATAACTTCAAACCTTTTAATTTCTTTCTTTTATCAAATTTATTTTTACATTTTTTTAGTCCGTTAGTTAAATTTACCTCATATTAATTTTGGTAAAGTCAACATATCAACATTTAATTATTATATTTTATTCAATATTTATTTACGAAAAATACCATTAATTTTATTATATTTTCTCTTTATTTATTTATTTTTTAAATTAAATTTTCAAAAATATTCAATTATTTTTTAAAATTTTACTATATTATTTTTTAATAAAATATATATTAATTTTTCTTAATTTCGTATGGAACAAAAATGATAGACGGAGGGAGTATTTCAATGGAGCTTCAATTTGCTTAAGTTTCCCCAATCTGATGATTAAAGTATTGCTAACCTCTATAATGTTTTAGAGTTTTTTAAAAATAAAATAAAATCAAACACTATTTATTTTACATTATTTTAAATAAAAATATATTTCTTTTGTCCCAAATACGGTGTCCCATATAGGAAAAAGTGTAATTAATAAATAATTAAAAATATATTAGTGAAAATAATAATTATTTAATAAAAATATTTTTAAATTAAAATTTAGATAACTAATTGGTTTAATTAAAATTAAAAAATAAATAAATTAAATTTTTTAAAATAAGATTAAAGTGTATAATACTTTTTCAAAAAATGAAGTGACAGAATAAGTAGGACATATGAAAATAGAAAGATGGACACCATAAGTGGGACGGAGGGAGTACTATTTTCATTCATTTACAAGGTTGACATTTATTTTTGTATGTTGATATTTGAAATATTAATTATTATATCAAAATATAGTACAAATGAAAGAAAAAAGACAAATATATCTGTTAGTATTTTATAATACAAATATAATGACATTTAGATGAACAATTATACAAAATATAAAAATATTTTTAATATTAAATACAATAAAGTAAAAGATAAATATTAACTTATTAAGTAGAAGGTGATAGTATTTTTCTTTTAAAATTAAAATTAATACTCCCTCCGTCCCAGATATCATGTCCACGTTGCAGTTTATGTTCGTCCTACGTACCATATCATTTTATTTTTTTGGAAAATAATTTATCACTTTAATCTCATTTTAAATTTTTAAATTTTATTTTTTTAAATTTTAATTAAAATAATTAGTTATCTTAATCTTAATTTATAATTATTTATATTATAAGATAATTATTTTCACTAATACATTCTTAATTATCTACTAATTACACTCCTCCTAAAATACCGTGTCTACAGTGTAACAGACACGGTATCTGGGACGGAGGGAGTACTATTTTCGATATATATATATATATATATATGAATATTTCCAATAAAATTACATATAACATATTTTTTTTAGAAACAAAAAAATATTGCAAAAGTAAATTTGACAAGATACCCCATAAATATTTACAAGTTAGGTTGTGCATTTATAACCTTATCCACTTGAAGATATCATCCACCAGCAGCAAGTGCACTCGTAATTCCTAAAAAGAAAAAAATAAGGTGCACTTGTAATTTATTGACATCTACAGCTACCGCCGTAGTTAACGTTCTTTTTATATAAATATTTTTTTAAATTATGGCAATTATTTTATTAATAAACATTTTAAAAATATTATACTAAAAATTATTCTTCTATTCTTTTTATAAAATTTTTTAAAACTCTAGAATCGAAATCTACCTTGACATAAATTAGATACGATAATTTAGAAATGTCCCGTATATCATGTCTATTTTATTTTAAATACGAGAATTTTAAAAAAATATAATAAAAATAATTATAAAGTTAAATTTAAATAACTTATTAATTTAATTAAATTTTAAAAATTATAATTAAAAAATACATTTTTTTTAAAAAAAATGATAAAATAGATGGGATACCATGAAAATAAAAAGATAAGATGGTAAGGCTATCTCCAACCCATTATCTCTATTTATCCACTTTTAACTCCAAATACTACAGTAATTTTACTCTAACAAAAATTCCAAAATTGGTGCTTGAATTGGCGCTGAATTGGAGCGCCACGCCATAAATGAGGTGTGGTCGGAGATGCTCTAAGGGTGTGTTTGTTTGAGAGATTGGATTAGATTTTCACTATTCATCCTATTTTTTCCTCCCAAATATATCAAATCAAACACCTATTTTTTATTTTTTATATTATATTAAAAATTAATTTTACATTTAAAACATCACATCAATACCTATTTATATCACATCGTACAACTATTCAAATTCAAAATTTTTAGTACCAAACACACCCTAAGTGGAAAAGAAGGATTACCATACCCTAGTCTCTATATGCAGAAATACAAATATGTATAAAGATCTTTCAAGGTTTGAAGAAAAAAGGAAAAAATCAGTGTGGAAATTAAAGGAAAAGCAGACCCTACGTACCCTTAGCCACAGGCAATCAGCCAATCAATCACTCATCACACTACATCAAATTTCCACTTTTGCTCTTCTCCCTCCCCACTCCCTACTTCCGACACGTTTTATCATTCTGCGTCTCATCTCATCTCATCTTCCCAATTTTGCAATCAAACAAATCTGTAATCTTGCTTGCTTACTCCTCGTTCATCTTCCCCGCTTAATTGTTGCGGATTTTTCTTTATACACATATTTGTGAAAAATCCACCATTTCTGTGGGTAGGTAGACAGACCTCCATGGCTCAGATCTTGCTCCACGGGACGCTCCACGTCACGATCTACGAGGTCGACCGCCTCCGGACCGGCGGCGGAAACATTTTCGGCAAGGTTCCGTACTCTCCTCAACCACTGTTCTTTGATCTTAACTGCAATAATTTCCATGTCTGTAAATTGTAACTGTAACAGTAACTGTAATTGAAAAAATTTGCAGCTGATAGAGAACATCCAGGAGACGGTGGGGCTGGGCGAAGGGAAGCCCAAAATCTACGCGACCATCGACCTCCAGCGGGCGCGCGTGGGGCGCACGCGCACCATCGAGGACGAGCCGCGCAACCCGCGCTGGTTCGAGTCGTTCCACATATACTGCGCCCACATGGCCGCTGACGTCATCTTCACCGTCAAGGACGACAACCCCATCGGCGCCACCCTCATCGGCCGCGCGTACGTCCCCGTCGCCGACCTTCTTGCCGCCGACGACGAGATCGACCGCTGGGTCGAAATCCTCGACGACGACCGCAACCCCATCAAAGAAGGCTCCAAAATCCACGTCCGCCTCCAGTTCTTCGACGTCTCCCGCGACCGGAATTGGGCCGCCGGCGTCAAGAGCTCGCACTACCCCGGCGTTCCGTACACCTTCTACCCTCAGAGGACCGGCTGCCACGTGTCGCTCTACCAGGACGCCCATATCCCCGACAACTTCGTGCCGGAGATTCCTCTCTCCGGCGGCCTGCGCCACCAGCCCCACCGCTGCTGGGAAGACGTCTTTGACGCCATTGTTAACGCCAAGCACTTCATTTACATCACCGGATGGTCTGTTTACACCGAGATCTCTCTGGTACCGCCGATCGAATTGCCGTAATTTGTTTCAATTAGATTGAGTTTGATGGTTAATCAGCTTCAATTTGGTCTCGATTAGGTGAGGGACTCGAGGAGGCCGAAGCCCGGCGGCGACATGATGCTCGGCGAGCTGCTGAAAAAGCGCGCGAGCGACGGCATTCGCGTGCTAATGCTCGTATGGGACGACCGAACCTCGGTTGGGCTGTTAAAGAAGGACGGTTTAATGGCGACGCACGACGAGGAGACGGAGCGGTTCTTCCAGGGGACCGACGTGCATTGCATCCTCTGCCCCCGGAATCCCGACGATGGCGGAAGCTTCGTCAGCGACTTGCAGGTCGCGACGATGTTCACGCACCATCAAAAGATTGTCGTTGTCGACGCCGCGCTGCCGAGCGGCAGCTCGGCGGAGCAGCGGCGGGTAGTGAGTTTTGTCGGCGGTATTGATCTATGCGACGGCCGGTACGACTCGCCGTTCCACACGCTCTTCCGGACGTTGGACACGGCGCACCACGACGATTTCCACCAACCGAACTTCCCCGACGCGTCGATCGCCAAGGGCGGCCCGAGGGAGCCGTGGCACGACATACATTCGCGGCTAGAAGGCCCGATCGCGTGGGACGTTTTGTTCAACTTCGAGCAACGGTGGAAGAAGCAAGGCGGGAAAGACTTGCTCCTCGACTTGAAGGAGCTCGGCGACGTAATTCCCCCATCGCCGGTGACGTTCCCCGATGACAACGAGACGTGGAATGTTCAATTGTTCCGATCGATCGACGGCGGGGCTGCATTCGGGTTCCCCGATTCGCCCGAAGATGCCGCCCGGGCGGGGCTCGTCAGCGGGAAGGACAACATAATTGATCGGAGCATTCAAGACGCGTACATCCACGCCATTCGTCGCGCGAAGAACTTTATCTACATTGAGAATCAGTACTTCCTCGGATCGTCGTTCGGCTGGGACGCCCACGACGACATTACCGTCGAGGATGTCGGGGCTCTACATCTCATCCCGAAGGAACTTTCGTTGAAGATCGTTAGCAAGATCGAGGCCGGGGAGAGGTTCACCGTGTATGTCGTTGTCCCGATGTGGCCCGAGGGGATCCCCGAGAGCGCGTCGGTGCAGGCAATCTTGGATTGGCAGCGGCGGACGATGAACATGATGTATCAAGATGTCGTTCAGGCGCTTGAGGCGAAGGGCGTTCAGGAAAATCCGAGGAATTACTTAACGTTCTTTTGTCTCGGCAATCGAGAGGTTAAGAAGAGCGGCGAATACGAGCCTTCCGAGAAACCCGACCCCGACTCCGACTACTTCAAAGCTCAAGAGGCGCGGCGATTCATGATCTACGTCCACGCCAAGATGATGATCGGTAACAAATCAAGAACCTTTTCCCCTAAAAGTACATAAAATTTTAAACGTTTAGGTGAGACGGTCAGTTAACATAAGTATAAGAGTTGGAGGCTATTTGGTATTAAAATAATATTTGATGAGACATCACAGAGAGTCAAAATAATAAAATTTAGAGAAATTTGGTTAAAGAAACTGACCTAGATCGTTCCATGTTCGAGTTGTATATTAGATGATCGATTATCTCGATTTTCTTGCAGTTGACGACGAGTACATTATCGTCGGATCGGCGAACATCAACCAGCGATCAATGGATGGTGCGCGCGACTCGGAGATTGCAATGGGAGCTTATCAGCCGTACCATTTGGCGAAACGGCAGCCGGCGAGGGGACAAGTCCACGGATTTAGAATGTCATTGTGGTACGAGCACCTCGGGATGCTCGACGACGCGTTCGTGCGGCCCGAGTCGGAGGAATGTGTGAACAAGGTGAACGAGATTGCCGACAAGTATTGGGATCTGTATGCCGCGGAGGAGCTGGAGCGCGACCTGCCGGGGCACTTGCTGCGGTATCCCATTGGGGTGTCGAGCGAGGGACGGGTCACGGAGCTGCCGGGGACCGAGTTCTTTCCCGACACGAAAGCGCGGGTTCTCGGGACCAAGTCGGACTATCTTCCTCCGATCCTTACAACTTGAGTCGGCGGCGCCGCGGCGCTCCTCGCCGGAAAGAATGAGGGAATGGTTGTGGTGATGTTGAGTTTGTTTTATAGCTACGAACGGAGGATGTGTTTGTGTGTTTCTTTTTTCCAGCCTTGCGTGTGAGTTTTTTTTTTTTTTTTTTTAATTGGATTATGCATTTATTTAATTTGGTTGTATTAACTTGTATTTTTGTTTTTTTATCGTTTTCTAATATATATATATATATATTTATGTATGTTTACGTAAAGTAATATTTTTGTTCATCCCCTTTGAACCTTATCTATTAATTTTTTTTTTTCAAAAATATCAAAGTAAAAACTTCTCATATTTTATATTGTATATATATATATATATTAAAGATTAATTTTACGTTTAAATATCACGTTATCATATGTATATATCATACGAACAATTCCAATTAAAAAATTTTAATGTGGAAATTCCAAATTCAAACTTTCAAACAAACACACTAATTTGATATTTTCTGGATTGAATTTGTTATATAAGGCTTGTTCCCAATACTAACTAGTGAATAAAAATATATCAAATTTTTTGTGTTGATTTGATTGAGTCATCATAATATATAATATAAATTACATGCAAATCGCCATAATTTTTTTTTTCTATGTCGCACTATCTAATCGTCATAATTTTATTTTTTTTAATAAACTATCATATTAAATCATTACACAACACAATATATAATATAAAAATCAAATAGAAATATAAACTCAGAAACAAATACACTTAAAAGGTGTGTTTGTTTGGGGATTTTGATTTTGAGTTGGGATTTGAATAGTAAAAAATTTGAATTTGAATAGTGGTATGATGTGATATAAATTGGTGTTGATGTGATATTTTGAATGTAAAATTGATTTTTAGTATAATATAAAAAATAAAAAATAAGTGTTTGATTTGATATTTTTTGGGAAAAAAAAAAAGAAGATGAATAGTAGAAATCTAATCCAATCCCCCGAACAAACACACCCATATGTTTGTATCTTAATTTGAAATGTTACACATGATATATAAATTATTGTATACTTTACGTGTATATTATGTAGGAAACTTATAACGATCATGTAATAATTTTAATTTTTATGTTTTGTAATAAATTTTTTAAAATACAAAAGTAAGTCATATAAAGCCTTTTTCAACCCACTGCATAATTGGACTAACACTGTACCTCCATTCCAAAAATGGAATGGAGTTTTTGTAGTATTTTGTGGTATTTTGTGTATTTTTGTTATTTTTTTTTTTAATGTATTGTGTAATTTTTATTTTTTTAGAATGATGATATATAATTTTATATTTTAAAAAGTTATACTCCTTCCGTCCCATAACAAAGTATTCATTTCTTTTTTTAGTAACTGTACTTTCTACATAAAATTACAAATACCCTTACAACTTACAATATATTACACAAATGTCATTACCTTTATACCACACATACTAATAAGGTTATTTTAATCATTTCTACTTAATTCCTACTATATCTCAATATAATACTAATATTTCTAAAATTACGTGCAAAAAGCAAATTGATACTTAATTTCGGGACGGAGGGAATATGTAATTTTATTTTTTTTAAATGATATATAATAATATTTTTTGAAAAGTGATATATAATTTTATTTTTTGAAAAAGTAATATAATATTATTTTTTTAAAAGTGATGTATAATTTTATTTTTAAAAATAATTTTATTTTTAAAAATTATTTTATTTGTAATAATTATTAATTATAAATGTTAATTTTCATATATGTAAATTTAAAAAATATATATAAATTATATATGTATGGATTATAATATATAAAATAAATTAAAGTTGAAGTGTAATTTATAAATATGAAAAATTATATAAAGAATAATATATATAGAAAATATACTTTTTATGGTGAAAATTGAAATTTATAATTGAAGTAAAGTCACTATAGATCAATTGCATTTTTACTATAACTACTGACAAATGGAGTGAAGTGAAGGGTTGAAGATGACCTAATAAATTTAAAAATTACTCCATATTTTATATACTTATATTAAGATATACTATAAGTAATCTAATTTAAAATAAAAAATTCAAGACTACCCAATTAGAATATATAATATTGGTTTGTTTTTTTCCTTTTTAAAAAAATAGGTATTAAATAATTAATTTTTAATTATTCTCAAAACTTTCCAAATTCTAAAAACATTTTAAAATTTTATTGAAACAAAGCCTTATTTTCTTTTATAAACAGTTAAAATCAAAATACCGATTAAATAAAAATTCAAACACAAGCTAAACAAATAATAGTAATATTTAAAATGTGCGATTGTGCTTTTCTTATCAAAATACTCCCTCCTCCGTCCACAAAATAAATATACATTTATTTTTGGCGCGAAAATTAAGAAATAATAGTATTTTAATTATAGTGGGTAGGTAAAAGTAGTTATATACTAGGTAGTTAATTAAATTAATTTTTATTTATTAATTATATTTTGATTTAATAATTTTCATATAAAATAAAAAACTATCAACTGTTTATTGTCAAAATTGTGGTAGGAACAAAAGAGTAATTTTTTATGAAGAGTGTATTTGGAAAATATTTTTTAAAAAAATATTTAATTATTTGAAAAACAACTTTTTCAATAGTATTTATTTTAATTTAAATTCTTTGGACTATAGCACACCAAAAATAATAAGGGCAATTTTCACATATCTCCCTAATTCTATATTCGTATTCTTATTTACTTCATATGCATTAATTTTATCTTCTTTACTTTTTATTTTTACAAATTTATTCTTTTTCACTCCTTATTCATGTAAAAACCCTATAGTACCTTCATTTAATTTTATCTTTTTTATCATTTTTCTTCTTTTTTTCAACTACACTGTAATTTTTATAATTTATTTATACTTTTTATTAATTTAAATATAAAATAAAAGATTACAACAACAAAAATAATAATTGACAAGAACTAATAATACTAATAATAATAAAAAATATATATACTACCTCCGTCCCACATACGTGTCTGCTACATTTTAGATACGGTATTTTAGGAATGATGTAATTAATAGATAATTAAGAAGATATTAGTGAAAATAATTATCATATAATATAAATAATTATAAATTAAGATTAAGATAACTAATTAATTTAATTAAAATTAAAAAAATATATTAAAAAGTTTAAAATGAGATTAAAATGTATAATCATTTTCTAAAAAAGAAAAAATGACATGGTATGTGGGACGGATAGAAACGGCAACATGAATATGGTACATGGGACAGAGAGAATATAATACAAAAATACTCATAACTCTTACATTATAATTATATAAAATATTTATAAAAAATATATTGATTTCAATTAAATATAAGTATGAGTAATATAATAAATAAGGTGAAAAATGAATTTTTATTTGAAAAAAATATTTTTCTATTATAAAAACTAATGTATTGTTACAAATCCTGCATAAATTATTGAAGCATAAGTAAATAGATTTTTATATATAAAAATTTATTAATATAAAATAAATAGATTTGTTTCATAGATAAATAAATAATATAATTAAATATTATTTACCTATGAGTTTTAGATTATATTTGGTGAATAAAAATATAAATAAAAAGATATTTAGAGGGTAAAATGAGTAAAAATATGTAATAATTACAAATAGAGAGTGATGTAAAATAAATAAAGAGCTAAATAAAAAAATTATATGAATAAAAATTAAAAAAATGATTTAGAAATTGGGGATGGAGGAGAATTAACCGATAATAAGAGCTTTTTGTATTCAAAATAATTTATTAAATTACTTATTTTAGAATCTGGAAAAACAAGCAAAGCCCACCCTTGTCCTTTTCCTTATTCCAAAACGGCACATAGTTTTGAATTCACACTTACTTGAAACAACAAACAAGAACAACATTTTCAAAATCATATAAATTTCCCACATCATCTTCCTCTTTCTTCCCTCCAAACAATCACTGCTACTGCTAATCCCTCACCAGAATCGTCCAGATTCTTGCCCCCCATTTCCACTCGCATGAATCTATCCAGATTTATGTGTTCACACCTACATCCCCTACTGCATATTTTCCCATGTAAAAGCCCCTAAACCAAATCTCTAGTGTTCATCACAATGCCTTCTCTGTTAACCTCTCAAGCAGTTTTATTAGCCACAGCCATGGCGGTTTCCGCCGGCACATTACTCCTCTTCGAACTATTCCGTCAGAAATATCCTAAAATTCCGCAGAATTATCCTCCGGATAAGAAACAAGCACTCAGATCCTGTTTATCCTCAGGTAGGTAACAACGTGTCCTATTCCTATAACGAACGATGCAATATAATTTCCTAATTCGTTGAATTTCTTATTCGATTAGTTCGGGGCCGTAATTCAGGTAGCGAGAAGAAGAATAAGAAGAAGAGAGTGCGATTCGCGGATGATGCAAAGGAATCGAAGGAGAATGTCATAAGAGAACACAGAAATCGTACCGTAATTCGGAAACGGAGCTTCTCCTGTGGCGATGAAATTCCAGGGCTCCCGAACATGCCCCCAAATCGTGCCGCGCTCTACGCCGGGATTCTCAGGGATCGCGTGCGGAGGATTGAACGCTCTTACTGATCGATTGATTGACTGGTTGCGTATGTTCGTCGGATTGTTGATTCTGCTGCAGATTTCTGGTTTTGAATTGTGAAGAAGACGAATTATCGGAAGGGATGAACTCGTTGGATTCCATTCCCTGCCTTGAACTCTAGTACAAAAATATTTGGGGTTAAATTCGAATTTGTAAGTTTTAGAGGTAGATAATTTGAGAGTTGGAGAAGATGCTTCTTCTCGTTGTGTGTCTGTATTGCGATATTTCCGAAAAGTCCTTTATTTCTGTCGAATTTATATTTACCCTTATGTGTTGCAATCAAATTCTCGATTCACAATTATTTGTTATTTGAGTCCTTTGAAGAGGAGGATGCGTTGCTGATGTAAATTAGTATTCCCTCCGTCGCGGAAGATGTAAGTCTTTTCTCACTTATTAACTTATTAATAATAAGTTAAGATAATATTTTATTATTTTTTATATGTGTAGTGTTATTGTTATTTTAAATATTTTTACTATTATATCTCAATAAAATATATGCAATATGATATCATTTTGTTAGAAATTTAATTAAATTGATTTATATTTGTTAAGTATATTTAAAATTGATAAATTTGACAAAAATATAAATGAACGTATCAAAAAAGAAATAAAGTCATCTATGGCGGCAGGACGAGGAGAGTATATATTAGAAGAGAATTATATTTCCATTTTTATTTATTTATTAACAAAAACGTCATGTTCAAAAATTATTTTAGTATAAAATACAAATCACAAAATCAAAATCAAACACAAAGTATGGAAATTATTGATGTATTTGGACAGACGATGCTTGGAAGAAGTTTACAAGGTTGCTATCAACTCCAATTCCACAATATAAATAATTTGAATAGATGTAAAGGCTTATGATTCATTCACGACTATACTAAAGATAGATCAAAAGAATTCTCTTCTAAATTGATGTATGCTTTGGTTTGGAAAGTGTAAATGTTGTGAAAAAGTAGGTCATAATATTCGGACATATATGCAATGAAACTCGAATAGCTCCACGCCGAAGAATAATTGTGGCGGCGGCGGCGGTGTTGCTGAGATTAACGAACAAATATTGTATAATTATTGTAGCTCTTATACTATGTTAAGAAAGATTCGAAATTTTAATTTTAAATAATTTGTTTCCACAAATATTCAATGTGGGACACACAAAAACTCGTCCGATCAAAGCTGGGCTCGATTGGAGAGTCGATTTTAGGAGGTAGCTTGTGATCGGTGTTTTGAATTAAATCGAAGAAATTTTCCCTACTTCTTTACTTGTTGCATCAAATTGGGATTTAAGCTCTCCGATTAGAAATTTTTTCAAATGTTAATTATTTAATAAAAAATACTCATTCCGTCTCAATACAATAGTCTTGTTTATCATTTTTGTCGGTTTCAAAACAATAATATCATTTTCATAAATAATCATATCACTATAAAGCTACATTTACTTTTTAATTATTATTACACAATTGTCACTACTTTTTACACTAATACACTCACAAGAGCAAAAAGATATTTTACTCGTACTTTTTACCTACTACCAATACAGTATCAATATTCCTTAAATCTCGTCTCAAACGTAACCCAAACTATAATTTTGGAAAGGAGGGAGTATTATTTTTTATCTTCAATTTTTCAGATATTTATTTATTTTTTAATAAATTTAAAAATAATACTAATATTTAATTAAGGAATAAAACTATGTAAAATAATATTAATATTTTTATCTTTAAAATTTAAAAAATTAGAATATTTTGATATATATATATATATATTTCTTTTGATATAATAGAAAATAAATAAATGATAGAAAAATAATTGTGACTGAGAAAAAGTACTTTTTATATTCTTTCACGAATTCAAAACGACTCTCAGCCAAACAAACCAGACATATTGTGAATTTAAAAATATATCGGCGACGCTTTGAGGCAGTTAGGCCGCCCCTTTCTTCCTCCTTGTCTTGTCGCTGTCAGTTCCATGGAAGAAGACAAGGCGTGAGTGAATACTCTAGTAGCTTTATAAACGCCTTGCCTCAACCTCAAGGAGAATCTTTTCCGGGACCCGGATGCAATTTATTGGCTGATTGGTTTCAGTGCGAAAGTGGGGGGGTTTCTGGATGCTTGCGTTCTCAGGTGAATTTTGATATTTATTGTTTGTTTATAACCTTAGCTATTATTAGTATTGTTACGTACGAAATTTAGAATTAGGTTAAAAGCCCAAGGTAAAAAAGAAGAATGGGCCTGGCAATAGGGTTGATTGAACTGGCTGAAGGACACCGTGAGGAAATCAAGGAAAATAAATTTATTTATTTATTTCTAAGGAAAATACAGGACGGAAGGTTCTCAGGTCGGTAGGTCCTCAGGACGGAAGGACTTCAGGTCGGTAGGTCCTCAGGACGGAAAGACCTCAGGTCGGAAGGTCTTCAGGTCAGTAGGTCCTTAAGACGGAAAGTCATTAGGACGGAAGGACCTCAGGTCGGTAGGTCCTCAAGACGGAAGGACCTCAGGTCGGAAGGTCTTCAGGTCGGTAGGTCTTCAAGACGGAAAGTCATTAGGACGGACGGACCTCAGGTCGGTAGGTCCTCAAGACGGAAGGACCTCAAGTCGGAAGGTTTTCAGGTCGGGAAGTCCTCAAGACGGAAAGACCTCAAGTCGGAAGGTTTTCAGGTCGGGAGGTCCTCAAGACGGAAAGACCTCAAGTCGGAAGGTTTTCAGGTCGGGAAGTCCTCAAGGCGGAAAGACCTCAAGTCGGAAGGTTTTCAGGTCGGGAAGTCCTCAAGGCGGAAAGACCTCAAGCCAGATGGTTCGCAAGTCGGGAGGATTGGCGGTCGGACCCATACTATTGTAGATTGGCAGTCGGGCCAAAAGAGCGGAAGGTCTGTGGTCGGCTCAAGGAGTGAAATATAGGGAATTTTTGGTCTGCTGGGGACACGTGTCAGCATAAGAAAGGTTGGAAGACGGTTGAGAAGGAGACGTTGTAACCGTTCGGGTGACGGTTTTCAGTACGGTTTCCCAGGGAATATTTAAGGATTTGGATCATCATTTGGCAAGGGATCTTCAATCAACTTCAACAAAGCAAAGTCAGATTTGGGGATCACCACTTTAAATTTCAGTCTTTTATTTTCCAGTTTATTTTCTGTACCATACAGTGTTTAGAGATTCCTAATCTCAGGCACTAATTAATCAAGTTTAAGGATATTTTCTATATCTTTGAATTTTACTTTATTTTTGTTGAAAAATTACATCAACAAATTGGCGACCACAGTGGGAGCAAGACAAAATTGCTCATTCCAATTCCGGCGATAATTTCATACGTCTTAGATCCGGCCGAATCATCGGAAGGGTCCATATGGCAGGGTCACAACCGCAAGCATCTTCGACACCGGTGGGAGAATCCGTTCCACCACCCATTGTGCCAAATGCCGGGGACATCCCACAACCACCAACTGATTGGTGGTCTTATGTTCAACAAATGAACAACCAGCATACCTTGGTTATGCAGAATATGTTGCGTGAGCAACAAACGAACATGTTGCGTGAGCAACAGAGTCAGTTGCAGAACATGATAGATCAAGCATTGTCAAGGGTTAGTCTTCAACCCACTCAAACGCCACCAGGAGTGTCACCGTCCAGACCACAGGCAAATTTCGCAGGGCCATCATTCGTGGATAGTACATTCCCAAGTGCCACAAATCCCAACCGAATGGATCGGGGAAAAACTCCTTTGACTTTTCCCAACAATGTTCCACTGGGACCAAGGGTTACCAATTCGCAGCCGAACAATACAAGGGAGGACAGGCCTGAAGGATATATACATGATCCGATTCATATTCCTGTGCAGGATCCGTTCCAGGTTCCTGATCATCAACGCTTTCATGTAGATCCTGATGAGATTGCACATATATTAAGGGATCAGTATGGATTAACTCCTCAGATGGCTAACCGCCCTGCATATCAAAGACCTTTCCCAGAAAGGATCATTCATGAACACCCTCTCCCAAGGAATTTTCGACCACCCGACTTTCATGCATTCTCAGGGGAGGACGGATCTTCCACCATAGAACATGTTGGTCGGTTCACAGCACAATTAGGAGAGGTTGGCAATAACCCTTTTTATAAGTTACAGCTGTTTGGTTTGTCTCTTACCAGAACGGCGTTTTCATGGTTTGTAAGTCTACCTCCTGGACAAATTCAGACATGGGAAGGATTGGAAATGGCATTTCACGCTAGATTCTTTAATCCTTTACCAGTTGTTTCTTTAACTGATTTACTTGAATTGAGACAGTATCCAGAAGAAACTGCTTCACAGTTTATAGAAAGGGTACGATTGATGAAGGGACGATGTCCTACGGTAATCAGTGAGAAAGAGATGACCAATTTAGTGGTCCGGAATATGCATAATCGCTTAAGAAAGGCACTCACTGCCCTGGATGTTGAGGATTTGGCAAATCTTGCATCCAAGGCAGGACGTCTAGAGTCTTTGTTCAGAGAGGAAGAGCAGCATAACAGGCGTAATAGAGGCCAACATATGGCGAGTATGGGAACAGAAACATGCGACTTTGATTTTAATCAGTCAGAAGAGATGGCAGCCGAAATCCTTTCTGGAAAACCGTATGTATGTCCTAAATTGAAGCCAGTACCAGGATCTGAAGGAAAGGAGCAACCGACCTTTGATAGTTCGAAAGCTGATGAAATCTTTGATATCCTACTGACTGATGGGCAGATTCGTATTCCAAAGGGCCAAAGACTTGCCACTAAAGAAGAAATCAAAGGGAGACCATATTGTAAGTGGCATAATTCTTTCACACACACTACAAGTCAGTGTACTCATTTTAGGAAGGAAATTCAAAAAGCCATCAAGACAGGTCGGCTCAAATACATCACTTTAGGTGTAGACCAGCAACCATTTCCGAAACTAACAACTGCAATGGTTGACATCCAACCAAGTTCGGAAACAAGGAAAAGTTCGGTCAATAGTGGACAAACAGGGGAGCAAACTAGTCCCGGAAAAAAGAAAGGGAATCAGCCAAACAGCAGCCGACCGGAAGAACGACTCAAGGTTGTTGAAAGGCCAGTCGCTGAAAAA